CTCACAAAAACCAGGCAATTGTTAATCAGAAAGCATCGATAGCAAAATTAAATTAGTACATAATGCAGCTAATTATAATATCATCTCAAAAACTTAAATTTCGTTTACATAAAATAAATACAACAAATCATTTAGTTCATGGTTATATAATCCGGTAAGTCATTATTAAATTTGCTATAAGTACAATCAACGTAGCTACCATATGAGATTATATACTGCCAAACGATTGTTGCTAAATTATAGACACAATTTTAGTATACCGTTTTGATAAATATCTTCAAACTTAATATTTTTATTCGACCAAATATTACATTATTTATTATATACAAATAAGTTTATATTATAATGGTATAATTCAGTGCATTGAAATGAAAATTTGACTTCGATTTGAATCAACCATCATACTTGCTTATATGGTCAAAAAATTACTATGACCAGATTATTTTAATTAGTAAAAATATTTAATATGCGATTAATACTTCAATTAATATCAATATCAATTGAAAAAAAAACTGCTTGGTCTTATTTTTTACAACATTGCTGGTTTTTTATCAACAACTAGAAAACATCTTATTGGTACAGTGTAGTAAATATTGATTTGATAAACAACCAGAAATATTGTGAAAATAAGACCAAGCAGTCTTTTTCTAAATTAATAATAATATTAATTGAAATAATAATCTAGTCATAGTAATTTAGTCATAGTTTATATTATATAAAGGTCGTTTCTAAACTATGACTATGAATATTTTAATATGTTCATATTATTAACTTCCCTTAGGGTAAGTTATAGTAATCGTCAAAAATTGAAAATGAAAATTTTAGCATATTACGTTTCAGAGACTTTTGAATATTTTGGCATACCTTATTGTTAGAAAAAAATGTGTGTGTGAATACAAATTTTTATCGTTTTCGGGAGCACCGCCAAACCGATTTGAATTATTCAAAAAACATTCGATTCCTATTGATACAAAGGCGTACTGATGAGTTTTTGGCAAAAGTTGATCCAACCGTTTCGGAGATAAGAAGCAAAAAGTGAAAAAAATGGCAATTAAGTTTGTGGGACAACGGAGCATCCGATTTGAATTAAAAAAAAAAAACATTTTACTTGTACTGGCGTAATCAAAAATTGATTAAATTTTTGCCATGGTAGGTACAGCAGTTTCGGAAATTGAAAAATGAAGTTATGAGAAAAATGTCATTTGGTGGTCGAAAATCAGATATTTTCGATAGTCTGTGGATCATCTAGCAATGAATGAATGACAAAAATGTTCAATATTTTGGAAATAAACAATTCAAAAAATTTCAGTTTCACGAATATCATTATTTTCAAAAAAAGCAACTTTATCGATATTCAAATATTTCAGATGCTTTCAGAATTAAAAAAAAACAGAATTTTCAAAAAATGCAATTCAAAGCTTTTAAAAACTTCGAATTATGGTACAGAAAGTTCCAGCTATTTGTCTTAAAGCACGATGCCATGCACCACTAGTTAAATTATTTAAATTGATAAGAAATAAATAAGATATTTATTTATAGCTGTTCTGTATTATGTTCTATAAAAATTACAAGTTCTATAAAACTCACTCTCAACAAATAATCGTGTAAGTTATTTCTTAAATGCTATTTCCCGTATTTACGTTCAAAGGTTTCCTATTTTATATTTTGCGTACGTTCTCTCTAACACTTTCCGACTTCGCCTCCAGCATCGCATTTCTATGCCGCCGTTGCGCTGCAGCATGCATCAATGGCTTAATTGGGCCCCCATACATTTGCACGATGGGGATGGAAAGATGTAATAAAACATATGGAAACATCTACATCCTGACTGAGTATAAATTGTGAAAAGATGTTGGAAAATATATTTGAAATCAAATTGTCAATTTGTGAATCACGAAGAAGTCGCTGACTAGTTTGCCAGAGGGTAATATTAAATTTGCTTTATTCTATTTCAGTCTAAATAACAAATGTTAGGCATAGTTATATAAATTAACCAGAATTTTGATAATGCTACGTTGAATTTTATAGGTGATAGGATGATAGTATTAATACATCAAAAATAAAAAAAAATATAAAAGTCCTTTATAATTGACCATTGCGTAAACAATTTATTTTGCCATTCGTCATATTAGAAGAAGCTTGAGTTTAAGCATTGGTACTTTGATAATTAAAGTTTCTAATATTTGCTAGTACGTTTTCGAAAATTAATTGAAATATTTGAGGGTTTATGTTTTTCAATAATTATACCTAATCAAACCATTATTTTATTAATTAAAAATATCAATCCGTAACATTTACATCCAATAACTTCACTGATTGTGAGGTTGTTGCTGGCAAATGATTCTACTCTATACTAACAAAGAAATTAATTAATTTCCAGATTGTTATTGGCAACAATATATTTTAAAAATATTTTTCATTCGCTATCACAAGACAAAATAATTCTGCACCCCTATGAATAAAAAATAAATTTGTTGACTAACAATTATTCAAATTTCATATTTACATGCATCGCAGACAAAATTATTATTTACCCACGCGTATGAATGTTTCACGAATATTCTGACGGATTTTATGAAATGACACGGTTTTATTTCCAGCATTTATATAAAATGACAGAACATGCATTTTTTATATTGCTTGTAATTCGTTGCACCGATATACAGACGAGATGATAATAAAGCGAAAATCCATGGCCATTGATCTATTTTCAATTCAATGATTTTTATTTAGGTCACAATTTACATAATAATCTAGCCTCACCGAAGATGGTCTCATTTTTTTACAAAAATGCTAAATATTTATCCGCATTTTCTATAAAAAATATCGACTATAAGAATGCGATATAGAAATGTTTTCAATTCCATCTCGTTATTAAAATTATGCGGAAGAAATTCTTTGTTGTGAATTCTTTATGAATTTTATTTTTGTGCGGTAATGGATGAATAATAATGAGAGTCGTCAAATTTGCAAATTTGTATGTGGGTTTTTTCAATAACTTCTATATACAGTTTGCATCATCAATATATATTTACGGGTAATGTGAAATGCAAATCGGAAAATAAATATATTTAGAATAACAATGAAGGTAAAAAGACTACTAGCTTTTCTCTAAATGACTGATTAAATTTGAAAAAACGTTTTCTTCTTAATTCTATTGAAAATATGATGCAAGTCCGTTCTTCCCAAATGTTTCCAAGAAGAACTAGACTTGTTGTATTTAAATCAAAATTTGTCAAGTCATTTAAAAAGAAAGGGTTCTATTATGTTTTTTACTTGATACATTGATTTAAATATGAAATTAAAAATGTATGAGTAAAACTACATTGGTTTTAAGTGTTGCTCAGAAAAAATGTAGTTAATAATGAAAGCATTTAATAAAATATCATGATACTATTGGTATTTATGTTCAAAATGAGTATTTGAAATCCAATTAAGGGCCAGAAAATCTGCCAATATCTTTCGTGCGACTATTATTTTAGGAATTTCCATCATATGTTATTTGAACCACTCTATGGGAGTAATATTATCGGCACTTGAACAATGTATAGTAGTAACCTGACTATAAAGAAAATTGTCACGGATCCAAGAACCGCTGCCGTAGCTATTAATTTCTATTGCCGAACCACCAAGCCTGATATCAGAAGAGAGAGACTAAAGATATTTGAAAAATGTAAGAAAATACATTAGAGAAAATCGTTTTTTCTATGTGCTAAGTAGGTTAATATAGAAATGGGGTGAAAAATAACGCTGGGGGTTGATTTATTGACCCTACAGAAAATTATGGGAAAGACGTTCTGGAATATATCAAATTAAGGGATAAGACCTCAAAGTATAGTTCTTAAAATTACCAAGCTTTATAATCTCAAATACCAAACAATACCTATATTCCATTGTAATACTATAACATACAGTATGATTTAAATCAAGTTTGTTACCCTGATCATTTAAAATTCTTTCTGAAAACGTGTACCAAATTTACCTGCGCGTATAGAATTATAAAAATCTATATCATCACAAATATTTACAATCTTTATGTATATTTTATATATTCAGGAAAGAGTATAACGTGACACACGTAACATGCAATGAATATTTGATGTCTACAAATTTTCGCTGAGATATACTATGAATGATATTTGTTTCTCATTTTAGTCCCGAGTTGTCTTGTTATTCTGAGCTTTGTGCATATAAAATGCCGCACTTGTACAATATTTCCTTTGTGCATTGTTAGTGTTTAAAGTATACATAGTGTACAATAGCTGGTAAATGTAATAGAGACAGGGAATGTGATAGATAGCTTTAATAAAGCATTATTTGAAAATGTGTTTAGTTAAAAATGATATCGTAATAATATACAATAAAAGTATAATTATGCTGGAACTATGAAAAAGTATATTAGAATTCTTCAAAAGCAATCAAATCTTTAAGCAATATCATTGGAGGACAAACTGTTTTAAAAATTTCGCTGGCTTGAATTTCACTTTCGAGCTAATTTTTTTTGGTGAAGTTTCTTGAAATGGCTCAAGTAAGCAGAATCACAACGTGTTTTAATGGTCAAAAGTTTTGACTAATATATATATGGTAAAAAAATTGTAATCAAGTGTTTTGACTCAAAACACTTGATTACAATTTTTTTACCATATAAAATTTAACTATATTTTTTAGTTTTGCAAATGGCCTGCTACCAATTTCAATAATGTATTAATTTCCAACTTGCTTTATTTACCACGCTGCACTATTATATCGCATTCTATATGTAAACTTCATTTAATTCCCACGTCATAACATTTTATATTGTAGCAGCAGTCATCCTCGTTTCATTTTACAAAAACCCTCCACGGACTACTTTCAGTTAAACGTAAAGTTAAAATGGATATAACTTCGGACAACCAGATACTAGAAATTCAGAGGAGAATTATAAACTAACAAAAACTAATGCTGAAATTGTTATCTTTGCTCCATAGTCGCGATTACCTCAATTTCTGCGATGTAGTAAAATGTATGCCAGTCGAGGTCGAAGAAATTCAATTTACGCTGTGAAATTAATTACGAAGTTCGACTGTGATTCGTATGTTTGCATATGTGGATTTCCGCGAACAAGTAAAGCTCTTGTACCTACACAGGTAGTTCATTTCGCATATCGGAGTTTCGAGAATCATATTAAATAGAAACTATAGTTGAACGCTTTTTCAAAGTTTCCCAGACAAGTGCTTCAGAATTAGTACTGCTGTCGATCTTTCTGCATATAGTAACTCAGTGTCTTAAGACAAGATAAAAAGTTGCATGCTAATATTTTGCACTCAACAGGAGGTGCTATCAGTGAAAGTTTTGCTTATATTTTACGCTCTACAATACCTTGCAATTTTGAAAGCTTTCTTGTAAGCTCAAAACAAGTTCCAATAATAAAATTCACGTCGACTTTTCTTTAATTTAATCTAAGTATATTTAATAAAATAAAAAAATAAAATCTCGAGGCTTATATTGTTGATAGTTGACCATACCCATACCATTAGAACACATCTTTTAATATCAAACTATCAAAGTCATATAATTATTTTTAGTATCTGTCATTTCTTCAATTTAATTTTTGAGTTATGAATGTTCTTAGATAGAAACAATCTACTATGAGTCATGTTCTGAAAATAAATAATTTGCAAATAGTCTTTCATTAGCTAAAATAATTTTTTTATGCAAATTGAATAAAACAAAATTCTCGCTACCATGACACCAAAATTACCATTGACACATCAATAAGGTATTTATTTCAAATGATATTAACGTATATTATAAAAATTCAAATGTTTTTATTACAATTTTTTGACAGTTCTTACTATTTGTTTTATGAATAATTTATAAATTATTAACTCAATATTACAAGGATTTTGTACGAAATTGTTATTATGCGTCAACCATTTAAATTTGGTGCAATTTTGTGTATTTTATGTATTCATACGATTCAATTGTCAAACAGGTATGATATTTTTATATATATAAGTAGTAATAATTTATGTATAATTGTGAGAAGAGAATAAGAATCATTTTTAGTAACATCAACAAAATTACACTAATTTAAATGTATTTATTACTATCAAATGCCCTAAACAATAGTATGAGTATAAAATTGCTGATAAAATTTAAAGTAAAACATTCAGTTTGATATAGGTTTTGAAATTTTCTGCTAATTTTCCTAACAAAATATAACTCTTACAAAAATTCAAGACATACGAATCTTGAATATAGCTAACTAAATATCATGATTATATTTTTTATTGTTTGTAAAAAAAATATTTTTCGGAAAAAATCTATTACATTCTTTCTGCGCTAACTTCTTCGTACGTTTCCATGTTTGGACCGCTTGTTGCCTTTAACGATGTTGCACTTAGCAATTTCAGCAGTTATATAGAACATTAGTTAGTTCACAATACATTTTCAATCTAAGCTCCCCAGTTTCATTAAACGGTATAATAGTCTACAGGCGCTGCAATTAACATTAATGAGAGTTTAAACGATAGTCCTACCGAGCCCGAGGTTGAGATTTACTGGTATTTCATTTCCAATTAAACCCCATTAGAAATTTTCTATGGAAAGGAGCTGATACAATTGAGTGAAATATGGGACATAATATTAATGGAATTTTCTATAGAAAATGGTTAATACCGTTTCTGCTAAGCTAAATGTAAAAGAGTGCCAGGAACAAATTTTTTAAGTCCAACAGACCAACTAACCAACCAATATTTCAGTTTTTTGTTTTTCATTTCAATTAAATATGAATTAATATTAGAGTCTTCCTGGTCAAATTTAAGAAACATGGGTAACTTTATATTGCCCTGATTATAGAAGTCAGTGAATAACTATATGCAAACTTTCAGTGCTGGTAAAAAACATTTATGGTGCCACAAGTGTTCAGTGGAAGATTGCAAGCAAGTGCAATATTGTTCTTCATACTACACCCAAGTTCCCGGTGATAGTGATGGTGATGCCGAAGAAGAAGGTTTCCGACTGGCCGCTAGTTCTACCACCGATTCTACAACCAGTTCTACCCCGGCTCCTCTACGAGAAGCTATATTTTTTCAACGTCCCAATTACACAACGCCTAGTCCCGTCAAAGAATTGGCTATTGCTATGAAAGCTATCACTACTGGTCTACTATTTCAACCTGGATTAAAAAATAACTTGACGATATTTTACGATAACGTGTATTCCGAAACTAAAAATGGATCAGCAAAAATGGAAGGTCTAGGAAATAATTCTGAAATCAATTCCCCAGATCCGCCTTTAGTAACAGAAGCTGTCCGAGCTGAAAGCAAACAAAAAAATATCATGTTGTCGAGAAATATTACCGAACCGAATGTTGAACCATTTGTTGATAATGTTTATGTAGGAGAATTGAGACATGAACCGCGTTTTAAAGTTATTCGTAATGAGTACTCAAACATAGAAAGTGAAAGTGATGAATATTATTCTGATGAAGAAAGAACTGACAATGATGATATGTTGGGAAAGTGTATCGTGCTGGGTGGTGATGACTTTTTTAGAAGTGATTGCGTTCACAAAAATGTCACATGCGCTACGTATTCAGAGGTAAATGTTATTTTCTTATTACATAGTTTTTTTTTTGTTATTATCGAATATATTTCATAATTTTTTTTAAAGCTTAAAATAGTATTCAAAAAGTGCATTTATGAAATTCTTGGTATATTATATTACCATACAACAGGTACAGTTGACAATTGACTTCTTTTATGAATTTTTGTAATGCGTTTTTTATGATATTAAATACGAAAGCAGTTTACTCATAATATACAAACCAAATATAAAATATTTTCGATTAGTTACTGCCTTTTACACTATTTTATAAACATGGATTACATTGCGAATTCTCGGAATGTTTGAATCCAAAACTTTATCCAATATGTGCACGTCATAATGCTAGGCAATTTATTTGCCCGTTTTTCGCGTAACTACACAACTTTTTGTGTAAATATATCCAAGCAATTTAGTATTCCGAGTACATTTTTACATATAAGTTACTGCCAGTTTTGTTAAAGAGAAACAAGAAACTGCAATAAAATCTGGCAGCGTTCTATAGCGAACGCAGGCGGTGTGAAACGGTCATTCCGGAACATTAACTTTTGTATGCAAATCCCTGATATTTTTCTACTACAAAGTTTTTACACCAACTAGAACATTACTACATATCGTTTTGTTTATTTTTGTATTCAGGAACAAAACGTAACCAATGTGAAAAACTTGAAATGCCAAATTTGCGCGAACGATTTGTGCAACGTTGTGCAGTTGTTGAGTGGAGTTGAGGTGCACGCAGGAAACATTTTTTTGGTGGCGTTGAGTTATTTTTTTAAGACGTTTATAAATAGAAATGTAAATTAAAGTTAATAAATGTTTAAAATTGAATTAAACCAATGGTGTCACTTAAAAAATACACATATTTTTATAAATATTTTCTTTGCAAATATTTGTTTGGAAAAAACTTAAGTATGTATACAGTTTTATAATAATAGATACTATTAATTACTAAGTGCGAAAATTACTTTTTTAAATTGTTTACCAAAATTTCGGCGAACTTTTTTATATTGAAACATAATTTTATAATATAATTTCTAAACGAATTTATCATTTATTATTGTCATTAGTTTATTTACCGTATTACTAGATTTTTCAAATAAGAGTCTATATTATAATAAAATTGATATTTCTGAAATAAAATTGAATACCAATATATCAAATATAAATGAATCTATATTTTATCAATCCCTTATATTTTGTCTGCAAAAGGATATTGTACACCTATCCCCCGTTTTACACGAAAGATAGGCTCCATAAAAAACTGTGTTACTCGAAAAATTCACTCTCATATGGAAAAACCGTCCTAAACAAAAATCGCTGTAATAAAACTTTTTTGTCAGTTTTTGATGTGATGAATAACAAACACAAGAACGAAAATTAAATAATAATATATTTAATATCAAACACATTCAATAAATTATAAGAAATATAATTTATTTTAGATATTGATTTTTCTTTATAGATAAAAATTAAAATGAGTAATTCATTTTGCTACCAGTTATATATAAACACTAAAGATTAAAAACAATGATGCTTTTTGTTTCGGCATTTCAAACAAACTAGCTTAAACGCATAAAATTTAGTTTTGATCATAAAACGAAGAGTTTCCATCTGATCTACTCATTTCCATCATAGACATAGGCTACTAATTATAATCATTAGTAACTGTAACATACATTTTGTAGTACTTTGATAGTAATATATTTTGACATTAAAATAAAGAAAATGCTATTGTAGACATAAGTATTTTTAATTTCGTGTAAATGCAAAATTAATCAATTGCGTAAAAAAAATATTTTCAAAAACCGTGTAAGATCGAAAACATGTAAAACGCGTACAGTGTAAAACGGAGGATAGGCGTAATTGGATTGTAAACTTTATCATTGAACAAATTTATTATGAAAAACAAAAATTTCATATAATTTAACAATATATATACATACATATATTCGTAGTCGTTTATGTATATAAACCTAAATGATCTATTTATTCAACTTTTTCCTGGGGCGCTCCGTTCATTTATAATATTCTAATGATATTTCTTGCTGCGCAATGTGTATTTTACCGTCTTTCGCAGTCTCGATTATATAAGTTGTAATATTTCAAGCTGACATAAACTGTCGAATGATGAGACAGAACCTCTGTGTAAGAAGCTTTAGTTAATTAGTTTTCTAAAATGAGCTTTTCGCTACGTGAAATATGTTGAAATGTAAATCTTATGAAAATACAGAACTTATGAACAAGACGTGAAACAACTTTATATCTGTCTTGCACAGAAACATCGGGAAGATATATATATATATATATATATATATATATATATATATATATATATATATATATATGTTTTGAATTTGTACATGAGATAAGTATCAGGATAACTACAACTCGTGGACCATTGAAAAATTATAAAAAGTATAAAAAAAAAATACTTAAATTTTGCTAATCTTATTGTTAGTGTTATAAACATAAAAAGTAATGATCCGCGGTATGAAGTTATGGTAATGCGCCACACTATTTAATATAAACATGTAATTATAACATTATTTCACAATTATGCCAACCTTGAATTATCACAAAAGAGTAAGTGCAATATAAGTGTTACCTGTAAACTAATTAAAAAAATATATAATTGTAAAATATTGTTATAATCACAAGTTTAATATTAAATTAATAATGGGCAATGCACTATAAAAGTAAAGGTAATGAACTTCATTATATTAATATTATTAATAGAGTGAAGTGCATTACCATTTCCGCAAGACATGGATTATTCATTTTTCTGTTTTTTTAATGTTAAGGATTAGCAAATTCTAAATATTTTTTTTCACTCTTTATAATTCAAAATTATACAATATATATATATATATATATATATATATATATAATTCTTTCTCCTAGAATTTAAAATTCTAGGAAAATGGATTTACTATCAGAATAATATTTTCTCTATTCCAGAGAAGATATATCTTGATTTTCTAAAAGCACAAGCGCACTCAGAAAGTCGACTCGTAATCCAAATCTTGATAACTTCGCCGGATTAAAATCTCGAACAATTTTCTATCAGTTTCTAAGCTGACGTTGCGTTTTTGAAAAGAGCTTAGGTTGAAACAAAGTACAAGCCATTGGGATTTTAAATATTTAAAACGGAGCAAAAGCTGAGGCAGAACGCGTGTTTCATATGCAAAGTATAATGTTCTTGGAAAGCTTTGTGTTCTGCTTGACAAGAGAACCGCTTTTGTACAATCTCTACTTTGTTTTTTGAGAAACCTATTATATATAATACGGTAGTACAGATTCCATTTTGCATTATTCAGAGTGAGATTAACGAGTTTCATACAAAAATCGAATGACGTCTAGCGTGATCTGCTTGATGAATATTAACTATCGCATATCACATTGAGAAAATGTAATGAATGAAATTGCGAATTCCCATGAATAACGGATTTTCACATTAATCAATCATTTAGATTTAAAAGACTGAAATACCGTGTCGTGTAAAAGCTCTTTGGTACGTTTGATCGATGTTAGGCCTGCATGAAATCTACATTTTTTTGCAAAACCAAGCGTCAAAATATTACTAGAATCAATAAAAAATGGATTATTTGCCGACAGCAAATCTATAATTATTCATATGAGTATAAGGTACATTTGCACATACATTTTCGCATATGCAATTTTTTGCATGGTATCTTTGTTTGGAAGCCGTCTGCAAAGTTAGGGGCTTGACAAAAAAACAGGAAATATCACGTGGAGGTGGGATATAGTAAGATATTACGTGTATTTATTTTTATCTGAATTTGGAAAAAATACAATAATTTTCTACAAAAAAATTACGATTGTTTCTAGTTTCTAACAATACAAATTCGCTGGGAGAGATGGTGTTAATTATAAATATTACAACCTATTACTAAGGGGGAAAAAGAGTCCAAAAATCCTTAAAAATCGAGTACGTAATTAACAGACTACCCCTTGATATCTATTGCAAACTAAACTTAAAACATTTATATACATATTTGTTATATTTCCTTAATATATAAGATACCTTGCTTGTTCAGTACATTACGGAAAGACCACGTAGCCCGAGCATGGTATAATTCACCCATTATCTCACAAATTGCAGTATAAAACTAATGAACCCCATCAGAATCTCGCACCTCTAAGACCTAAGATGTATGTGACTATATCTCCTTATTGATTGGAAATTCGATGCTCCCGCACGCAAATACTCTTTAATGGCAAATGTCCCGTTATAAATTACAAATTGATCGCGAGGATATCGCCCCGGGAAAACAAATTACCGTAACGACGGTGAAAAGAATCGATGGTCCTTGAGCGCCTCGCACGTTTTGTATTAATAGGTATATCGTTATATGCAAGGCATAATGGCTTTTGGACGTGGGCTTAGGGAAGTGTATGAGATTTATTAAGGGAAAAGTCATGCGACAATATAAAACATTATCGATGTTTGTCATATACAAAACCACACCTCTTAAAATCTTAAAAATGATTATTTTTGAACGCATCGGTTATCGAACCTAAACCTAAACCGTTTGTGAAAGTTTATTTTTCAAATACTTCATTCATAATATTTTATACTCATTTGAGTATTGATACAACGTATTACAGCTTATTGTTGTTCATTAATCAAAAAAAGCTTGACATTGCAGACCGGAAGCTTTTTAGCTAATAGTATGCAACTACAAAATGTTTAAATTACAATTCAAAATCAGTTGTAGTATATTTAACAAGTCATACTCAAATTGTACGTAAGAATACAAAACTTTCAATAACTTTCAATTAGTAACAAATGTAGCTGAATGTACTTTGTATAGCTTGCTATGAAAAATAAATAAAAAAAAAAGTTTTAGATTTTTACTAAAAACCATAAAAAACTTGAAAAACGAGACATTCATGAGCAAATGAGTATTATTGTAGGGTATATACTATTTTCATCCGTTTTGAAATTGATCTTTGATTCAAAAATGTATAATTCATTGAGTAAAAGCTGAGCAAATTATGCAAAGAGTACAATTACTCACTTGTTAAATTACAATGTGTGGAAAATATATATATTTTTTTAAATTAGAGATATTTTTCATTAATTTTTATACATGTATAACGATTTACTAATACATAAATTTGAAAAATCTTCAATTGCGATTATATATATATATATATATATATATATATATATATACACCTAAGTCTGTTTTTACACGGTGATTGGTTCCAGAAGAAGCCGTGTAAAAAAAACATGTAAAAAAAGACATTGATCTTATACAAAAATGGGTGATTTGTTCCTAATCTCTGAAACCTATTAAAATTAGTGAAAAACAAGAATTTTTAGAGTATTCCCCTAAATTAGTGCTATTCACATTTGCTTTGACCAGTAAAAATTGTTTGTACGCGCTAAAGGGGAATTCACTCAAATCTTTAAGCTAGTGTTCGCAAACTATCGATACTATCGATGGTTTCAGACTTTTTTCTTTCATAAATACTTTTTTGTGATATGAACATACTTCGCAAAAATTAAATTTGACAAAAAAAATTTGAGTACATAAAATTTCAAATCGTGCTAAATGGAATAAAATCGTGTAAAAAAATTAAAAATATTCAATTTTCAAACCGTGTTATATCAAAACCGTGCACAAAAAGACCGTGTAAAAACAGACTTAGGTGTATATATATATCTGTCGTTATTAGTTCAAATATTACAATTATATGAATTAAATTAATTTTGTATTTTGTATTAATTTTGTATTTTAAGTGTGGACGTCGTAAGCTACCCACGAAACACGTAACGAGCATATATATGCTTTGGTATAGATTCTGATTAGAATCACTCGAATGATTTTTTATCAATCAACCATTTATCGTAGGCCTATAATATTTTAGTGTGCTACTTCATACTACAAAATCTATCGTCGTCCAAAGTTCCATCAGAATCGTCAAAAAATAATTTCATTATTTAATTACGAAGAAACGGCCCGGCAGATATTTATTGAAAATTAGTCACCACGATTCTCTAACATTTTCGAACAGTTTTTGAATATTCAAAATCCATTCAAGATTGTGGACTAAAACGTTGACAAACAATTTTACACTGTTTTGCTAATTACAAAGAAACGTGTAGTTAAAATTAAAATATCAATACTGAACTATACGTCAGGATGCGTAAATCTAAAATATCAATATTGAACTATACGTCAGGGTGCGTAAATCTAATTGATTTTCGGTTTATACAAATTTCCATCAAATTTCGTCGGCTTTCAAAGGCATTATTTCCAATCAATACTCGTCCAGACGTGCGGCACGTCGATGTTTGCAAAGGTTTGAGTGGTTGGCGACCTCCTCCGCCCATCGGCCTCTCCACCGTCGAGTGTTTGGTTGCAATCTGGCGCATTTGTCGTGTCGTATCGGCTCGAGACTCACTCGATATGCCACTGCTTCGTAAACCGGACAGCTCGTTCAAAATTCACTTGATGGCGGTTGGATGATTTAATCGTTAATTAATAGACACGGGCGAAATGGATTGCATCAACTTCACGGCTTCTGTGAAAGGCTGTATTGAGTTTATTTGATGACCCAGAGTAATTGCTAATGAATCGGATGGGGGAATTAGTTTACACTTCGCTGCAAGGATTTGATTTGATTCTGCTACTAGACATCTATTTTGCGAAGCTCTGGAGGTCTTATATCATTGGATTCAATTTGACATTAACTTGTTTATTGAAAAGTAAACAATTTTTGATATATATATCGGGTATGATTCACAAAAGATGTGCGATTATCAAACTTTCGAATTAATAACAATTATAATTTTTCTATTTGTTTCGACTTTTTTACATTTTGCTACGAGTGTTGTCCACGGACGACATCAACTAGAGAATGGAATCAGTTAATTCTAATTGGTAATTCTATTGGTAATTCTATGTTTCAGTTTATTAGAAGTGCAATTTTCAATTTTTGAATACATTTTTATTGATAATGATAAAGTATCTTAATATAAAGTATATCGCTGTATCTGGTCATGGAGTTTCCTACAACAGCAACACACCTGCGAAAAATGCTCTCGTAGCGAAAGGGCTGAATTTCTGCTCTATCTATCGATGACATCTCAATATATTGACATACAACCATAGCATTGCAATGAAAAGTATTAAATAATTTTGTTTTATAAAGCCGAATATCTAGTAAAGTTTTAATTATCCTAACGCAACGTAAAGTTTGTATAGATAGAAATATTATTTCTTCAAAAAGTCTTATAAACATTTCTTAGAATGCATATTATTATACTATATCCATCATAAACATACTCGTTTATCCAGTGAGGAACTTACACATGATATATAACCTTGATGTGTCATAGCCAATTCCTATCAATGCATAGTATGCGACCTATAACCCTCGTAAAATATATTAACCTTATGCAAAGCATTCATTATATCTCTCACTATGCATGCGTAGTACATTTGATATGAGATATCTTTGCCATCTCAATTTTAGCAAATGATTAGAAACGTGTCTGTGAACTCAGTATCCTATTAAGAAAACATCCCTGGTGTTCGGTTCAGTTTAGTTTCCATTCCACAAGACGTAGTTCTGAGACACGCTAGATTTAGTTTGATGTGCTCTGCACATGCTACGTTTTGCAATTAAAAGTTGTCGCAATAGATCTAGTCCACGTTCACTTCAATATGCTATATTTCACACATCTACACATAATACATTTCAGTACTAGTGACGTGAAGCGAAATATACCGCCATCCCCTTGGCCCGATGTCGGCTCCTAAATCCTTACCGCAGCGTAACCAATGCCGACTTGTCAACTTGTCAACAGTACCGCCGGCGTTCCATTCTGTTTCGGTATGAGGAGGTTCAGGCGGCCGAACCTACAGACACAAATACAGGGGCAGACTGGCAGACAAAGAAACACACACACAAAACACAGCATGTTCACTTTGCGATGATTAAAGTTTCCAACTGTTTAGAAGATTTTGTTCTGCAAAACGAACGAAATTCCTTTTCTCAAAGTTTATATTTTTTTCCATTAATTAAGAATAAAAGTAAATTTATGTTGCTCGAGAGTCGTTCTACAGTTTGTTTTAGGATCTTTGAATACTATTATTGAGCTTTTGTGAAGTAGAGGTTGTAAATATTCACAACTAACGACACAAAAAAACATGAACATTTTTCTCTATTTTTATTTTGAACAGCAAACAGAACATACGAGTCTTATAAGATGTTGTGCCGATTTGACTTAATACTATATATACTCAATACTAGTCGGTTCTACAGATAGCAACCCAAACTGTTGTCCCATCTATGGAGCAAATATTTGATGCAACAATGCCGGATCAGTGCTATTTTTACTTGGTAACATATTTCTATATTTATATTCCCAAGTGAAATCCGTTCTCACTACTGCTTTACAGGCTGCTCGAAGCTGGATCAAATTATTAAAAATCTAGATCCATAAATTTTCACATCTTGGTCAAAACATAACGAAAGATGCCAACTAGCATGAGAAGTACGAATTTATGTGAAATTTCTCGACTCTTTAACACTTTCGGGATGGCACCAATTTCAAAACAATCTACTTTACCGGCTGTAAACTTGATTTTAAGGGCATACATTTTTAATATTAATTTATTTTTGATTATTTTATAAAGAATGGTGACGTTCAAAACAATTTCCAAAATGCATAGCTGGTTGATTTTGACATGTTTTATAATAAAATGTTGTTCGCTGCCTTCCTCCTGGTGCTTTTTTGTCAGAACAGACAATACAGTCTCTTTTTCTTTCACTCACATTTAGAATATACCACTGATTAGTCAGTATATTTGGTCATTTTTTTGCTGCCATAATGGTTTGTTTTTTCTATTATATTGTCTAATAATTCATTTGTAAAATATAAAGTAAAATAATCTATTGGATGTCTTATATTACTTGGTATTTGTAGTCGGGGGGGGGGGGTATTTGTTTGTTGATGTATGTCAAACTCGATTATTGAAGGAGAATCGGCACATTCGCTAATGTCTTCCCGCTCTTCATTTATTTTGTCGAACTTCTTCTTTTTGTTGGTTGGATAATATCATCATCACATTCATCGATATCATCGGTGCTAGTAGTAATTTCGTTAAATTTGTCTGTATGAATGTCTATTTGAAACTCATCTTCAATACTGCTTAATTCACAAAATTTACTAGTCGTTTTGCCATACTTAAAAGCGCTCGGTCGTTTTAAATATTAAAAAAAAAGACCATATAGCAAAGAAAAAGGCTAAAAATACTAAAGTAGTTTAAAATTATTTTTAAAATACATCACTGTTTATCACTGCTACATGTAATTTATCCAACTTTTCGATGCAAACTGAGTCATTGTTTATAAAATAGCCTGTGCCTCACAGAGTATGTTTGTCCACTGAGGTGGACAGCCGTCCCCAAAGTATTAAAATCTATAATAACGCATCGTATTATTGATAAAAAGTAATTTTTGAAAATTCATAAACTTACAATTGATCTTTGTTCATCGGTATTTTCTTATCGTATAGCTGCAAATGATCGTGTATGTTTCAATGTTTGTTTGTTCCTATGCTTCAACACCGTACGACTTTTTCCAATTATTGTGGCGCAATTAATCTCATCCAATCCAAAACCCTTTGAGAACCCTTTCGATAGATAATGGGTTAGTACCTAGGTCTGCAAACACATATACAAATGGAACGCACAGACCTTTGAGTATTGGCAATAATGTAAACCCGTCCGGGCGTAGTGCGATGTGCCAACCGGGCTGCCACGAGTTCAAGCGCGTCAAGTAATTCACACACATGCACGCCCTACAGACACCTGATAACCACTCGGCATACATGGCTGAGGCGTGAATCGATGTTTTAATTATCAGAATAAATTGAGGTTTTGAGGCGCACCGAAAACGACATACGAGGTTAAACGCGTCACATCCGAATCGATAATTTTCCTATCCCCCGCGCGAACGTTTAGGTTTTATGTCGACTAATGAACGACAGATTTTACAGCAACTAATGGCTGAGGTAAATTATAGAGTTTAGTATTATAAAGGAGTAAAATAATTCATCATGATTTAACGGTTAGGCATTACATGAACTAATATGGTAATAATATTTTGCGTAATTTTAAGCATAATATAATTATACTATTATCAATAAGAAGTAAGCCCATGATAAAAAAACTGGGTTGTGACAATATATTGACAATTTGCATTTTGGGAATTAATGCTTGAAACGATGTATGAAAGAATTTTATAATTCTTACTGTTGAGCAGTATACAAGATTTCTCAGGTAGTAATTTTTACACTCAGATAGTAAAACTGTAGGATTTAAAAAAAATTCAGTAAAGAATCTTCTTGCCTTGCCTAGATTTTCAAAAATTGACATATGTTAATGTAGCATGAATTACTTTCTCAATCTTGCCTCGATAGTATTGTGGCTTAGTTTTCTGCCAAGTGAGTTTGGATGATCTTCGACGACAATCTTCTGTAATTGTCTGAATTAGTTTGTATTTTATAGTTTATTGTGTTCATGTCGGCTTCTCAGTTACAACTTATTCTTTTTATATTCTTGTAGTATTTCTTTCCAATATAAGTTTTAATCTGATTTCAAAGTATCAATGTCAGTTTTACCTCTCTATCATCATGTTATGAACATATCGTCATATTATTCAATAATATGTTCTGCACGATAAATCCAACTTCTGTTTACTTCAATAAATCCTAAAAATCTGTAGCCAATTTGTTTTTACACAAAGAAGTAACTTTGATAATGAATCTAAGCATGTTATAATTTCATAAATATAATTAATAATTTCAAATGCGATATATTTAAATATAAGTTATGAATAATTTGTTTTATAATTGATTTGATATTTTTCAAATTAAGCTGTAATTTATGACCATCATTTTTGATATCAATTACTACTTATCTCTCTATTTACCAGTGCTTGATTTTTATGTTTTGCAAATTTGAATCAATCATTAGCATTGACGATTTTCGGCGTACAGTTGTCAGAACGATATCAAAATGCTGACAAACCCATAATTGCGACTGCTAAATTACATACAATTCATTCAATTATTCACCGTTTCAAAGGTATTCGTTTTGTTTGAAACGTGCATGTACTGTCGAAATACAGATAATCATAACAATGAGTACAACTCTTCACTTTGTCGGATGTTCCGATACCATTGGCACGGGTATTGCATTTCCTTTGTTATACATTGGATGAATTATTCGCTTGGAGCTTGATAAAGCTTCGAGCTGATAAACTAAATAACGACAACATTCATCATCAAACAGAGTATATGAATATTTATTTGTTTGCTGTCGAAATATATGCATATTCGGGCATAATACATGATTTTCTGCTACTCTGGGCGCATACGCTAGTTCGGTATAAATTAATCAGGCGATCCTAAATCGAACATCACGCATCAGATTACGCGCGTCCGATTCCGTGGCGCTATATGCTTCTGTCAATAGTAAATCCAAATGCGGATTGTATCCCTGTTTAAACAAACGTGCTCATTTCGTGAATCCGCTTTTCTGCATCAACACATCGGATAATCCTACTTACGGAACCCCTTAATACACAAATCCGTATATATCCCTCTTATATAATTCGTTATCAAGACATATTTTGGCTGCTTTTGTAATCAATAACGGGATCTTTTTGGATAATCAAGTAATATAAAGCTACTAAAAATTCTCATGGGCTTTTACTTCGTGATAATCCATTATTTGAGCGGCCAAGTTAACGCTGGACCAATATATAAAAATATGAGAATAGCAAATCAAAGGTATTTATTACATTGAAACCGACGGGATTTGAACCTGATCATTTTTACCACTCTTATCTATAAATCCAAGCGCGAAAAGTAGAAGAAAGCGCTTTAACCGATATAGGTGTCAAGACATACTGATATGAAACACTGCTTTAATTACTTTTATAATTAAACCACTTCTCATAAGCCTTTAATATTTGAAGATGATCGGTTTGACTATAAACCATATAATCTTGATAAGTTTCATCAAAATCCCAAAAATGTTTTTTTGAGGTTCTCCGTGTTAGTATACTTCATAATATTATCGATAATGCACATAAAACATATGGACTAAAATGAATATAGGTGTGTAGACGATATCAAAATTCTAGGTAACCAGCTACTAATCCGATAATTTTAGATCAATTTATTATGTCATCCAATTTTCATGTACTAGCATTTCAGATATTATCCGCAAGCTTATTTGCATTCAAAAAGTCAGGTGGCCATCAACCCTTATTAGTGAAGCTTAAAGTTGTCATTTTCGAATTAAGACCTTTTACGATATTATTTTTCCATCCATTATTGGTAATCCATGTTGGTATACTTCATAATATTATCAATAATGCACGTAAAACATATAGACTAAAATTAACATAGGTGTGTAGACGATATCAAAATTCTAGATAACCAGTTACTAATCCGATCATTCTAGATCAATTTATTATGTCATCCAATTTTCAAGTCCTAGCATTTCAGATATTATCCACAAGCTTATTCGCATTCAAAAAGTCAGGTAGCCATCAACCCTCATTAGCAAAGCTTAAAGTTGTCATTTTCGAATTAAGTCCGTTTACGATAAACTTTTTTCATACATTATTTTGTGAAAAAGGGAGTTTATATGTGATGAAATATAATAGAATTGGCATGAATATGGGTAACACAAAATACCAACAAATATTATACTAATGTTTTGTATAGAATCAAATCTGCAAA